TGTATTGGCAGGAGCCCATTACCCGGAGCCTCCATACCAATTGTGCTCTTGAGTCAACCCTGTCATGTATCTTTTTATTTTTAGAACTGAGATATGTGCGTGTGTGTGATTGTGTCTTGTTGTGGGTATTGCTCAGACTCTTGATTTCTTTGTATAACTGGCAAAATGGGACTTAAATTTATTATCTAAAGTGAACGTGAATCGAATTTCAATTATTCAGAATTGATAACGATGTTCATGAATGATTTTGTCTCAGACTTCTTGAGTCCAACCCAAGAATTCAAGACATATTTCCCGCCTTTAAGAATTTGAAACTTGAAGCCGTAATCAACTCTCGATCTCTCAATCTTCACGTCAGACGAGTCATGATTGCGCTGGAAAATGCTGTGTTTTCTTTAAACGACGCAAAGGTTTTCATCGAGTATTTAATGAACCTTGGAGATAGACATAAAACATGGCCCGTGAGGCTGGAACATTTCGATGTATGTATTCCATTATGCCGATCAAGGCTATTTACGGGTACATATTGCTGTATAGCGCTGTATAGTGATGTAAACTACAGAAGAGAGAAGTATAGAGCTATCTAGGAGTAGATATCGCTGTTTATGATCCATCAATTGTTTTTGCTCGTGCGCGACTGATCTAAACGCAGCAAGCGACTGAATATACCCAGCTAAAACTGGGTGATATCCGAGAATATTACCCAAGCGATATTCCCAAATTTGAAAACCTTACATCCACCACGATAAGTCTTCTTTTCCAACTTAATTCAATTCTGGATAAGTTAGCATTATCATCTGAGTTAATAACGTAAATTGAAAGCTCACGTTTCGAGCGTTAGCCCTTTGCAATCGCTCTGACGAAGGGCTAACGCTCTTTATTACCCCCTTGAGTCATTCAATTCATTAAGCTGTTAATAAATATTTTTCACGTGCGTTGCAAAATATTTGAAGGGTAAAAAAAACACAATTGTCACTATTTTGCGCGAAAATACGTACAGGTATTTGTCCTTGGACATTGTCTGTCCCTCGAAGGTCTCGGTTTTCGCATCTTGGAACAGGCAATGTCCGCGGACAACTATCCGTACTCATTTTCGCGCCAAATTGGAGAAATTATTTATATAGCGCTGTATGGTAATGTAAAATTCGGTAGAGGGAAGCATGTAGCTATTTAGGGGTACATATGGTTGTGAAGCGCTGTGAAGTTATTGCATTTTACGGATTTACAGTGTTACTCAGGGGTTTAATGTTGTATTGTGCTGTATAATGATAAAGATTGAAGTAGAGGGATGTATACTGGTATTGAAGGGAGGGGGGAGAGGGGCATATGGGCGTGCGTATTCGAGTTTATTCTACGATGTAAGGACACATGGAGTCCAATAATCGATGGAACGCGTTTGCTCATAATGAATCTCTCAAGTTGTTATCGACTATCTCTCTAAGTACTATTAATAGTAACTTATCCTTTCTTGATTATTGTTAAAAGGAAGAACAAAAGAAGGGACGCGCAAATGTGAAAAGGTGTAAAAACTTGTGTGAGGAAAAAGGTAATAAAGGCGCATACATGTAACAGTATGAACACGTCCGTCGGCGCTCAAAACCGTAGAAGTGGAAGAGATAAAATCAAAGAGACGACTCGCGTTTGTTAAGTGGGTAGGGGCTTGACTATCAGCTGTACACTTAATCAAATAGGCGCGCGCAGGTCAAAACAGGCATTGAAGTCCCCATAGGATCTGTTCTCTCTGCATTTCACGTGAATCCTTGGAATATGAAGACAGACAATGAAAATCAAGGTAGTTTTTGTATTTTTTACACTTTACATTTCTCTTACACAAAGAAATAAAAAATAAGTATAGTAGAAACTGCATTAAATTGTTAAGGCTTAAAGTAAAATACGTGCTGAACGGAGACACTAAAATGAACCCATTTACTACCAAGACTGATCATAATTTAATTTTCTCCTCACAGTATTAACACAGCAAAACACGTGGTGTCAATAAGAATTAGAGAAAATCTTAACTTGAGGATAATTTTTTGATAGAAACGTAATGTCACATTGAATTCTCGGAATGAAGCAACAAAGAAATACATTCTTATCAGTTGGGAGAATTTATCAAACTTGGGTGTTCATGAGTTGATTAAACTAAGGTAAATGAATAATTATCTTTAACTGTGAATAAAAATACATCAAAACACTTCACATGAAATACACTGACATTATACAAAGCATGCTCAGTTAAAATTGTCCCAACTTGTTTTTAAAATCCTACGTTACATCATATTCAACCATGTCCGAGGTTCACTATTAAATTTTATACCAGCATATACCAATGGCAGTTGCGAAAATCTGCTAAATTAAGATTGATTTTACAAAAATTTCTTCTAAACAGCTATGATTCAGTATATCTCAAACTTTTGACCACACAACGGGTTCTAATTAAAGCATTCTTTGAATACCTATGTATAAATTCTTAAATCTAAGAAAGATGTTAATCATCAGACATCTTCAATTATACTACGCTAAATTTAGAGCAATGGAAAAAGTTTGAATAGGGAATTTTCAAAAATTGAAAGTTTTGTCCTGAAGCCCTGAACCTTTTCAACTGAGGACTAGATTTACAATTGTTTATGAACCTTTTCACCAAAACAATTCCCATTGAGGATTACAGGGCTTACTTTCATTGCTTCTGTGATTTGTGGGCGTAAAATAATTTCCTACTTGAAACAACAACTTCCATGTCATATAAATTAAAAGTCGCAGCTATAGAAAACTTCAGTTACAGTGAATCCTCTTCGCTGTTTCCTTGTTTAGATTACATGGACAATTTTTAACCTCTCTGTCGTCGTTTTTTTTTAAAACGAACAGATAAGTGTTTGATAAAACAGACTAAAATTGACGAAACTCGTTTGGTTAAAAGCAGGGTTGTAGCCAGCTTTTTGACTTGCCGTGGGCCTGTTCCCTAAGAAAATTCAATTTTTGTTTCAACATTTGCAAGAGTCATATTACAAAAGTCAAGCAGGTGGAAAACAATGGTAGGCCGGGCCTACAGGACTAAAGGCTGGCTACACCCCTAAAAGTGGGTTTAATGTCTCTGACATATGGACAGTAAATTCAATAACATCATCTCTGATGTTTACTTCATCAAATTAAGCCTAGAGTGGCAATCTTGGCACTAATAAAATTAGACTGCTTCACAATTGAAGGAAAAAAATTTGAAAATGAAAATCAATTTTTTTTAAAATTTCGCCAACTTTTGCAAATAACGAACTGTTTCTTTGGTTATCTAGAACTTACAGTATAAATGTAAATAAAACCAGGTGGACAAGTTCCTGGTTATGCACAAGAAAAAACCATTAAATTGTTTTCCATACAACTGACTGTAATACAGGAATAGAGCTGAGTGTCATTTTGGCGAAAACGGAAACCTCGTAATCGCCTTCAACTACTGCAGGTATTCTTAACCGAAGCCTTGTTGCATTTCGTTCTCTTCGCGAGCATTTGCATTTGTAAAGGTAACAAAAAAAGACAATTCCACTGATCAAAATATAATAAAACAGTCTCTTTATTTCTTCACCAAAGTAAAGTTACACATCTCAAGTTCCATTTAACGAAAAAGTAAACTAAGAGTAATAAAAAATAACACAAAATTGCCGAAATAGAGAAACATTTCAACCTTCCAAGTTCCTGCGTTATTCTTTTTGAGATGAAGGAAAAGGCAATTTTTTATCTATATGATTTTACATTTAAATTTTCTCTTTCCTTTGCATTGAAGTCAAGAGTGATGTCATCTCCAATCAGCGAAAAGGGCGCCCAGTATCTGAAGTCGTGGAACTCATCTGATTCTCTGAGACTTTTCATGGCCAGGTTCAGTGACTCGCTTGCAGGTTTACCTTCTACAAGGTGTTGATAAAAGCTTTTCATGAACTCGAGAGTAGCCTCGTCATCAATCGCCCACAGGGACACCAAAACAAACCGAGCACCAGCCCCCATAAAAGCGCGCGCGATACCAACCACACCTTCAGCCTTGATCTCGCCGTGACCACTGTAGTTGCAACTAAGCACAACAAGTTTGGCGCGAATTTGAACATTCAACACATCTCCAATTGTTAAAATGTAATCCTCCTCCGTCGGCACAGAAGATATTCGGTCTAGGTCAGGTGTAAGAGCAATTTCGCCATTTTCCATGTTTCCGTGTGCCGCAAAGTGAATTAAGGAAACGGAACCGAGTCTTTTCAACACCTCACTCTTCGTGGCCTGTCTGCCAGTGATTGGCGTGATATTCAGAATTTTTCCGATCATTTCTACTTCTTCTTTAGCACACGGAATCTGCTCGAGGACTTTCTGTCCCTCGCTGTTAGTAACCTCGGATACCCACGGATCTCCTACAAGTAACGCACCACTGCTTTTGTGATAATCATCTGGACAATGGGCAATGAGTCTAAGACTTGCTAACGATGGAGCGAGTCGGATTCTGAACGATTCACACAGGTATTTAGAATTACCATCCTTCAATGCAGCGTAAGGAGCGAGCCACAGGGGTCCATCGGGAATAATGACTAGCTCATCCCCTTGAACCAGGTCAGCCACCGGCTTCATAACGATATCATACAAAGTACTCAAAGCATCCAAAGATGGATTCCTGCAAGCACCGAGCACGAACGCCTCGAGGGACTGGCTAGCTTCTTTTTTCTCTGAAACAGAACCATTAAGTTTACTTTGTCTTAACTGAACTTGTTTTCCTTCGGACAAAACCCAAAGATTGACGTCAGCTTTGTCCACTGCCTGAAAGACGGTGTTTGATGGAACGTTTTCATAAACTGCTAAATCTTCATCGCCTCTGTGCTGACTTGCTCCACCACAAAAACTGGATTCCATAAGGTCGGTCAGAGCTT